AACCATATAATGTGAGCCTAGAGTCCCTGGTTGGTGTAAATGGTTAATGCCTTCAGCTACTAACCAAAAGCTAGAGGTTTGAGTCCCCCAGAAGCACCTCTGAAGAAAGGCTTGGCAATCTGCCATTGAAAAACCAGCCATTGAAAACTCTATGGAGCATAGATGTACTCTGACATACAGAGGTTCCTGTGAGTCAGTCCATCAAAGGTAACTGGTTATAGTTAATATGAGCTAGGAATTTGCTGGATATATAAAGAATAGCATTTGGTTCCTGACATTCATGAGATCACGTTTAGTGGGAACCAGAGATGAGTCGGGGCTGACTCGACGGCAAATAACAACAACAACAGAGATGATAAATGTATAACACCACTATGGCTATAATATATGTTATATTGAAAGTTTGTACAGCTGTGGGATTTATTAATTTTTTAGTCAGAAACCACCTCTCTAGAGTAGACATGTAGATGCAGAATGCCGACTCTTTCCTCATCTCTTCTCAGTGATGAAATCTGCATGCCCTAACATGGTCGACTAGCATCATTCAACCACTTCTTGGTCAGACTGCTTCTGCTAAAAGTTTTACTCTCAGATGATTTGTTAATCATATTGTCAGAGTTAGGTTTCTAGAAGCCAAACATGCAAGTTTTAATATTTTATAAGTTGAGCCACAACTCAGGCTGCCCATAGCTAACTAGAAACATCAATGACAGTTAATGTCTCTGGTCACAAATCCAGGTTTAAAACTTAGAGCTAAGATTGTACGTGAAGATGTAAGTGACCTGTCGTTGTTGTTATTTGCTGTCGAGTCGGCCCCGACTCAAAGCGACCCCTCCTTGGGTTTCCGAGGCAGTATCACTATGGAAGTAGGATTGCCCAACCTTCCTTCCGAGGAGTGGCTGGTGGGTTTGAACCGCCAGCCTTCTGGTTAGCAGTCAAGTGCCTTAGGCACTATGCTACCATAAGTGACCTAGCTAAGGAAAAATGAGGTCTTGCCATCTTGTTCTCTCCATTTAGGTCACATGACTACAACAGATATGTTTGGCAGGCATTTGGACAAAATTCTTAGCTCCCTGATGATTATATTGTTACATGAATCACTTATAAAACCTGGCACCAAATTTTGCTCATAGTAGGTGTTCAATAAATGTTTGTGGAATTGATACTAATTGTCAATTGATGGGTGCTAGAAAATTTTCTAGCACCCATCAATTGACAATTAGTATGAGTTGGGGCCAAATCGACGGCACATAACAACAACAACAACAACAACAGAAGATTTTCAGGCCATGACTATTTGATCAATTCCTGTGCCTACATTTTTACTAAAGAGAACAAATGACACTGGACTCAGAAGTGATGCTTGTCATAAGAACATTGGTCATGACTTCAGAGAAATAACAGCCATTCAGATGATTCCCCCCTCCACCAAAATGCAGTAAGTGGAAAGATTATTCCTGGATTTAGATTTAACAGTTTTTAGGTATTATAGAAATAACATCAATCATTTTAGAAATATATTTTAAACAAAATAAAATCAATTCAAAATCAGTAAACTAAAGTATTTATTTCACACTATAATGCACACACACAAAAAATCCCTCATAAAATTTAGTTGGCATTTCAAAAAATTTGTCAATGAATCTAACCATGGTTAGATAGTGAATGGTTTATAGCTTTAGACAAAGTATATGAACGACTTCAATTTTTAGAAGCAATGAAGTATTCAATCATTAGAGTGGTTATAAAGCTCTAAAAAGAGAAGAATTAATTTAGTTAATTTTACTTTTTTTTAATATTTCAAAAATATTTATGGCTATATTTTTCTTGAGAGTCTTTTCATGAACTTTTCAGTTACACCATATACATGGGAAAGCTAGAGAATGAAAAAGGAGGACAGAAGAATTAATGCACGTAACTTGTCATGTTGGTGAAGAATATTGAGTATACTGTGGCCCACAAGAAAAATGGAAAAATCAGTTTTTGAATTCAACCAGAATGCTCCATAGAAAGGTAGGAAGATAAGCCTTCAATATACTTACCTTGGACACACCTTCAGGAAAGACCAATTGCTGAAAAAGGACATCACGTTGGCTAACGTAGAGGGTCAGCATAAATAAGAGAAACTCTAAATGAGACAGATGGAAACAATAGCCACAACAAAAGATGCAAACACGATGATTGTGAAGATGGCACAGGGCATTTTGTTAGGTGTCCGTGAGCCAGAGCTGACTTGACCATAACTAAGAACATAATTCTCTTCAGATTTAGTAAACTAATTTCCTTTTCAGATTTTTGTAAAATAATAAGAAAGCAATTTTTTCTAAAGTTACCATCATTTTAAGATCATTTTCAAAGGCTCAGGGCCATGAAGTTTGCCAGTAGGCCACACATTTTCCCATAGTTACACTGTGGGCTGGGCTAAAAAACAAAATAGCTCCTAAGATTTTAATCACAACCATGATCTAAAAGGCTTCCTTGAGATCTAGTTCCTATGGGTTCCTCAGCAACTAATGGGGCTAGCAGACACTTGGAGATTTGGGACTTAAGCACAGTGGTGACATGATGGTTCTATGGGATCTGATGCCATTATCCTCTGGCCTCAAAAGGCGTTTTTACTCCAAGACTATTCCTTTACTTCCAATGCTTGCTGTGGTGGCCCATGTACTCCTATTCTCCCCAGTTAGATATGTTTTCCTTCTTATGATTTTAAAATAGGAGGATGAGACAATATGGACTGTGCCTACTTCTCCCTTTGGTTCTACCTTAAAATATGACTCCTGTGTACTTGTTTCTGTCGCACTAATTGTGAAAAATTGAGAACATCTGAAGCTGGCAGTTAGTATAAATGTGCAGGTGGAGAGGCTAATCCAGTCATGCCCTGAGGCCTTCAGACTTCCTAGTACATAGATTAGGAGCCTTGCTGCTCTCCCCACCATTGGCAGCTCTTTCTCAAATGGAGGAGCTATTAGGTGACTATATGTTTATGTGAGAAAGACACTAATCTGGTGAGAACATATATTACAAACAAACAAACAAAAAACCCACTGCCTTCATGTTGGATCCAACTCATAGCCACCCCTCCTTGGGACTCTGAGACAGTATCACTGCAGAAGTAGATTGCCCAATCTTCTTTCCAAGGAGTGGCTGGTGGGTTTGAACCACTAGCCTTCTGGTTAGCAGTCACATGCCTTAGGCACTACACCACCAGAGCTGCATAAAGCCAACCAATAATAACATGAATTCTCTCTCTCTCTCTCTCTTTATATATATATAAATATATAAATATATATTTATATATATATATATATATTTTTTTTTTTTTTTTAATTATTCTCTTGGAAATGATACAGAAGAAACTCTCTGCATGTAATAAGAAAGACAGTGAGACCACATAAGAAGGAAAAGGTTGGAGCCAAAGCCAGAGGACCTCCAATCTAGTCCTAACTGTCAAGTTTGGGGAAGATCATTGACATTTACTAATTCTCAGTTTCCATATCTGGAAAATGGAGATAAGAAGTCCTGGTGGTGCAGTAGTTAAGCACTGAATTGCTACCCAAAAGGTCAGTGGTTCAAACTCGCCCAGTGGCTCTGAGGGAGAAAAGATATGTTGACCTGCCTCTGTACAGCTTACAGCCCAGGAAACCCTATGGTGCAGTTCTACCCAGGAACATTAAACACAGACAGAAACTTGGAAAAAAATAAAAATATTCTGGAGAGCTCTTGAAGAGACAGCACATTCAAGTGGACAGAGTGGTGGTAGGGAGAAGGGAAGAGATTTTCTCTTCCAACACAATCAAAATTGATTCCCTTTGATATCTTTCTCCTCAGAATCCATTCCTTGCAGCAGTTGGTCATCCATTTATTCATTCAACAAATATTTATTGAGCATTTACTGTGTTCAAGGTACTCAAGCTATTATCAGTAGTTCTCTCAATTTCTCTTGTGTCTTATCCCTAAACTGCAGGTCACTTCTCTCTAATTCCACTTTTTAACTAATAAGATCTTTATATTAGTGTACGGCTTCCAACTATTTATAATACATACCTACTTCTTAGTCTCTTTGTTATCTTCCAATTCTATTCTTCATTGATTACCTTCATGAGCACAGCAAAGAGCTCCTGAGAGCCCCTTCAGACAAATATAGAATCCTCCTGAGATGGTGAGGCAAGTGGAAAAGCTATGGAAACTTAAAACTTTTCCTTTACCTACAAATACATTTGCCTGATGATACCTTGCCAAATTTTCATGCATGCACCCTACCTTCAAACCTCTGTCTGAAGTGAGGAACACATAAACAGACAATTAAATTGGCTGTAATTGGCTATACTAGAATATATACTGCCTGCAACTTGTAACTCTTTACACAGCCTCTACAGAGCAAGTAGGCTCAAAAATATTCATTATTATGTTTTTAGAAGGTCTGCTGTTTTATTTGGAGGTAAATGTTTGTAGAGTTGAACAGATATTACAGTGTTTCTCTTTTCACTAAGCAAACATCACAGCTTTTCGTCTACCTACATTTTACGAACAAATCTGCCTTTGAGGAAGTATAGCCAGAATGGTTCTTGGAAGAGGATGGAGAAAGTTTTACTTACTTTGGACATGTCATCAGGACGGTCTAATCTCTGGGGAAGGACATCATGCTTGGTAAAATAGAAGGTCATCAAAAAAGAGGGAGACCCTCAGTGAGATGTATTGAGACAGGGGCTGCAACAATGGGGTAACGTTTTGTTCTGTTGTATATAAGGTCACTGTGAGCAAACCACCTCAATGGCACTGAACAGCAAACAACACCTGACAGAATTCCATTTCCTTCTAGCCTATACTCCTCTTAATATTTATTTTAGTAGAATTTATTAGCTGCCATGTTCTATCTTTTATGAAAAATTCTAGGAAAATTATTCCTCAGCTTTTTGTTTTGTTTTGTTTTGTTTTGTTTTTTCTCTTGATGGCTGGAACTAAAACCTTTCTTGATTAGCTTTCTAGGACCAACTCACCTGTCAAATAGTTCTCCTCCTGTGACGAGTTCTAGGACCAGACTGATTTCTGTAGGGGTTTCAAATATCTCCTTAAGTTTTATCTGAGGAAAGATATAAAAAAAAAAAGAATACCACAAATTCCTTATTTTTGTAGTTCTTGGAAATGGATAAAACCATGAGAAAAATAATTCTCTGCAGAAGTAGTATGTTGGAGCACAGTTTATAAAGATTCTTCATTCTAGTATCAGATAGCCATTTGTCATTCTCCTTGGGGGTTGTTATTGTTATCAGTTACCTCATTTCTTCAGAGTCTTATTGCATCTTAACAATTTTCCTTTTGTCAGTTGAAACATACTTCTTAAAATTTTGCCAAAACATTCCAACTCCTGAATTGCTCCAGCATTCACAATAAACAAACAAAGAAACAAAACCTAAACCATTTAAAGGAATCTGGTTTCTGGCAATGCAAATGCATCTTTCTCCTGGGAAGAAACTTGGAATTAAGGATCTCAGGTAGGACCTGATCACCTGATAGTCTGAATAGAAAGGATATCCCTCAATAGCTATAAAGTTGTTGGTGGATGAAGGAGTTTTCAGAATAGTAGTGGTGGCAGTTATCTGATTGGCTATCACAGGGTTTTCAATGTATTCTGATAATCCAATTTTGGTTATTTTTCTAAATAAATGGGAATCTAGAGGCCAGGACTGAAATATATGAGACAAATTGGCTTCTCTTTGGAAAAGATGAATGATGTAAAAGCAGTGATAAAGTGGCAAATTTTGTTAATTGTTTGCTCAAGACACATTGCCTTGAATTCACTGAAAGAGAACCTTGATTTTTTATAGGAAAACAAGGTCCCTACTCCTAAATCATGGAGCATGATTGGTATAAACCATTTATGATAACCTTGCTCCCCAGTTTTTCAGCCTCCTTGCAGCTATGTGGCCAGCTTTGGCTAATAAAATCTAAATAGAATTCTGCAACAGTTTCTGGAAGTTTATTTTTTTTGGCACTAGACCCTTTCACTCTTCTACCTTCTTCCTGTCTTGAATATAGACCCAGTGGTGGGTGAAGACTGTGAAGGGAAAGCATGAAGATGAAAGCCAGTGCACTGAGGATGGTGGGACAAAGGATTGAGAGTGCTTGGTCCTAGATGGAGCTGAACCAATGCTAGCAACTTTCTGCCTCTGATTCCTCATAACATAAGACAAATAGTTTAGACTACCATATTTATGTTTTCTGTTGCTTATAGCTAGATGTGGGAGCTCTGGTAGCATAATGGCTAAGACACTTGCCTGCTAACCAGACGGCTGGCAGTTCAAACCCACCAGCCACTCCTTGGAAGGAAGGTTGGGCAATCCTACTTCTGTAGTGATACTGCCTCGGAAACCAAGGAGGGGTCGCTATGAGTCGGGTTTGACTCGACAGCACATAACAACAACATAACAAGATAGCTAGATGTGTCCCTAGTTCATATATTAAGTTTTAAGCTCTTTTCCTTGAGTTGTAAGTATTACAGCTCATTCTTTTAGGCACTACCACTTCTTCAGAGAAATGGATGAATTTTTACTTCAAGTAGATGGCTCAATTTGTAAAAATAAACCATGGCCTTGAAAGTGATTTTGTTTATTTCCTTTTATTGGCTCCAAGAAAGTTTTTGCCCCACATTTCCCTCAGTGGTTTGGTCCAGGCATACCTAAAGAAGAACTATTGGAGACTTTTTATTTTCTCCATTCAAGTACATCATTTATTTGAATCCTCACATTGTTCCTGAAGCAGAAACTTTCTCAAAGCAGATTGAAATGACTTTGGAAAGCAATACATTTTCTTCATAGGCTTTTTAGTAATGGCATATTAATAAAGTAGGTTACAAAAAAGAAAGAAAAAGCCAGTGTTTTATTAGAGAGAAGCAAGACTCCACAATTGTTTTGTTCTTCTTTTATGCATGCAAATAAAGATGGCATACATACTGCTGATCTATTCATTTTCTGAACTCTTTCAAGGGGTACTATTTGTAAGATTATTCAACCAAAGTGCTGAAAATATGATTAGATGAGGACAAGAGCTGGGCCACGGCAGCTGCTGATGGAGAACGAACCCTCTATTCACAGACAATGAAGAACAAAGGTCCTATTCTCTAGCTTTGAAAATTATTTGCAATAGATTAAAATCCACTTACAATGTTTGGATGTGAGAGGCGAAGAAGAACTCCTATCTCAGTTCTTACGATTTTTTTGTCCACCTAAAAGGTAAAATAAAAGAAATAACTGAAAGAAACTTTCACCTTAAAAATATCTTCATTGTACCAGAGGATGAAAAACAGTAACAACTGCCTGAGTGAATCAGGTAACTGGCAGGGGCTAATTCCAAAGTTTTTTTCTGTGTCTTTTCCCTTCTTTTTTTTTCCCCAGCTGTCATGTCTTTCCTTTCTGCTTCATGTATAAAGCAGAGCACATTACCAATGTGGATCACAACTTTCAGATCACTTGCTTGGTTTCTTGAAAAGTCATTACTATTATAATAAAGGCACAAGTTCATCTCAACCTATTCCTTCTCCTTTTCTTCCTTTATTTATGGATATCTCTGTTCCAACTCTAATCATAATGTCAATCACTTTACCTGCCTACCTCTCACAGAAGTGGACCCACCTTAACCTACCCTAACTAATCAGAGGCCATCATGAATGGTCAATTATATCTAACAAATCACGTCAGCCCAACCAGGGTCCTCCCCAAAAATTTGCTTAAATGATCAAGAAAGAGGTATTTTCCTTTTCTTTGCAATTGTGAGAGGAAAAGAGGATAGGAACTTTCAGGTACTAGGGAGTATATTTGGAAAAACATAAACATTTCTTTATTAAAAATAAAGCCAATAATGGAAAATATACTGTTAGGAGATGAAGAAATAGTGCTGCTGACACAATTTAAACCCCTGGATTTAGTCATGAATAAGTTAGTTTGTCCTTTGATGTTTATAATTATATGACCCATTATATTTCCTTTTCTATTTGTTATCCAGAGTTAGTTTCTGTTACCAGCCATTAAATATCCCTGGTTGAAATTAGTCCAACAGACTAGTGGACCATGCAAACCTCAGCCTATATATAGACCATGAGACCAGAAGAACTAGATGGTGCTCAGCTACTACCATCAACCATTTGAAAAGGAATTGGTGCAGGAGATCCTGCATAGAGGGGGAGAATAATATGGAACAAAACTCAAAATCACAAAAAAGACCAGATTTACTGATCTGATAGAGCTTGGTGAAACACCCAAGAGTGTGGCCAATAGTTACTCTTTAGGCCTGGAATTGAACTCACTCTTGTGGCTTCCAGCCAAACAATAGACTGGCATATAGGGTGAACATTTACATGAGGTAGATACACTCCTTAGAACAATCAAACATAGGAGAACAGAAGGGCAGTATTTGCACAGGGAGATAGCTAAGGGGGCACGAATACATAGGAAAGGACACAGAGAAGTGGAAACTACTGGGAGGAAGTGGGAAGAGAGCTGTTACATTGTGGGTATTGCAGTCTATGTCATGAAATAAAATGTGCATGAACTGCTGTGTGGAAAATGAATTTGCTTTGTAAATTTTCATCCAAATCACAGTAAAACTTATATACATTTAAAAAATCCTAGCTGATTCAGGACTTGAATTATGTTCAAGAGAGTAGCCATTTACTTTGGGATATTCCAAATATTCCATCCATTAAGCCAATAATGAAATATTTTAATAGCAATGTGTTAAAAGTTTCAGAGTTCTAAAAGTCCTACTCTAGACAGAAAGTTTCTATTTTCTCCCACTTCCAGTGCTAAACAATATATAGATAACTCCTGCATTCTGTCTGTGATCTCTGCCATCTGCGGTGTCCAGACCCTTGGACTGGCAAAGCTTACATGATTTTAGATTTGGGAATGAAGGTATTTGCATGCAATTCATAGTAGCTCTGAGTATACAGTAAAAAAGACTGCTTTAAATGGAGAATGGGCTCCACCCTTAAAGTTACTTTTTCTGAGAAAGAAATGGTGAACTTCAGTAGCAATTCAGACCCAATTTAATGGAAATAACTAATCACAACTTTCAAGACAATGAGGAACAACATTCATTCATTTAGTTTTTATCCTCTTATGAAACACTAACAAAGAAGGACACATTCTTAGAAAATAAAGAAGGATCTTTCAAAGAAATTTTATAAAATTTTACATGTTCTTCTCCTTGGCTGACAAATAAATTTTGCTAGACCCAAGAGTACTTTATTAAAAACAGAAGCCACCATTTATTTCTATCAGAAATAAACCTTTCATTTCTATCAGAAGAAAAATGTTTACAAGAGATGTTAAAGAGCTCCCATCCCAATAAGATTTTTCAAGAGTTTCAAGTTTTACCACTGTCCATAATAAAACACTAAATAATCATATGGTCACGCAAAGGCCTTTGGAACTACAATAACATTTTGGTCATTCATATCAGCAATTTGGAAATTCAGTGTATTTTAACATATTTTTAGAAAAAGAAAACAATTAAAATCGATAATACTGATATTAAAAATGCATTCTACTTATGTTTAATGAGGGTAACTCAGCATACTTTTGAAATATTCATGAATATTCTACTTAATTTCTACTATAATTTTTGACCAGAAGAGGGGATGAAGACATGATCCATGCAATTTAATACCTGACAGCTAATACAGCTAATACTGAGTACCAAACCAAAAAAACCAAACTCAGTCCCATCGAGTCATTTCTGACTCATAGAGATCCCCATTGGGTTTCCAAATTTTTATGGCAGTAGATCACTCCATCTTCGTTCCATGGAGGAGCTGGTGGGTTTGAACAACTGACCTTCTGGTTAGTGGTCAAGTCCATTATCCATTACACCACCAGAGCTCTTTACATCATAACAAATCATCTGTAACATTGTGAAGAATGGGAATTTCAGAACACTTAAATTTGCTCATGGGGAACCTGAACACAGACCAAGAGGCAGTTCTTCAAACAGAACAAGGTGGATAATGCATGGTTTAAAATCAGGAAAGGTGTATGTCAGAGTTATCATACTTTTCTAGTCTGTATCCTAAGCAAGGGAGCTCTGCAGCATTATGCCTAAGACATTTGACTGCTAACCAGAAGGCTGGTGGTTCAAACCCCCTTGGAAGGAAGGTTGGGCAATCTACTTCCATAGTGATACCACCTCAGAAACTCAAGGAGGGGTCTCTATGAGTCGGATCCAACTTGAGAGCAGTGCGTTGCATTCCATTGTTATCCTAAGCAAACAATCCAAAAAGCTGTGCTATATGAAGAACATGGCATCAGGACTGGAGGAAGACTCATTAACCACCTGCAATAAGCCAGTAACAACCTGTGATAAGCCATTAACAACCTGTGACATGTAGACAACACAATCTTGCTTGCTGAAACTGAAGACTTGAAGCACTTACTGATGAAGATCAAAGACTACAGCCTTCAGTCTGGCTTATATGTCAACATAAAGAAAATAAAAATCCTCACAACTGGACCAATAAGTAACATCACGATAAATGGAAACAAGATTGAATTTTTTAAGGATTTCATTTTACTTGGATCTATAATCAACACCCAAGGAAGAAGCAATCAAGAAATCAAACAATATACTGCATTGGGCAAATCTGCTGCAAAAGTCCTTTTTAAAGTGTTAAAGCGCAAAGATATCACTTTGAAAACTAAGATGCACCTGACCTAAGACATGGTATTTTAATAGCCTCATATGCATGTTTTCTAGTAATATATCAGACAGTATTTCACTGCTATTTATTAGATTTTCATTGACTAATTCTTTGGGAAGTGGATGACCTCCTCCTTCTTTCAAGTATGCCTTAATCTGGAAGCTCTGCTGAAACCTGTCCATGAGGGGTGACCCTGCTGGTATTTGAAATACCAGTGGCATAGCCTCCAGCCTCACAGCAATATGCAAGCCACCACAGTATGACAAATTGACACCAGAGGCACTTACTTTTCTATACCAAGAAATTTGGAAAATAGCTACTTGGCCAATTGACTGGAGAAGATCCATGTCTGTACCCATTCCAAAGAAAAGTGATCCAACAGAATGTGGAAATTATTGAACAATATCATTAACATCACACACAAGTAAAATTTTGCTGAAGATAATTCAAGAACACTTGCAGCAGTATATTGACAGGGAACTTCCAGAGATGTAAGCTGGATTCAGAAGAAGATGTAGAAGGAGGGTTATCATTGCTGATATCAGATGGATCTTGGCTCAAAGCAAAGAATACCAGAAAGATGTTTGTGTTTTATTGACTATGCAAAAACGTTTGTTGTGGAACATAACAAATTATTGATAACGTTGAGAAGAATGGGAATTCCAGGACACTTAATTGTGCTCATGAGGAACCTGTATAGGAGGCTGTCATTTAAAGTGGTCAAGAGCAAAGATATCTCTTTGAAGACTAAGATGTGCCTGACTGAAGCCATGGTATTTTCAATCATAACATGTGCATGTGAAAGCTGGATGATGAATAAGGAAGACTGAAGAAGAGCTGATGCTTTTGAGTTATGGAATTGGCAAAGAATGTTGAAAGTATCACAGACTGCCAGAAGAACAAAACTGTCCTGGAATAAGTGCAGCTAGAATGCTCCTTGGAAGTTAGAATGGCCAGATTTTGTCTTACCTACTTTGGTCATGTTGTCAGAAGGGACCATTTCCTGGAAAAGGATATTAAGCTTGGTAAAGTGGAGGGTCAGTGAAAACGGGGAAGACCATTAATGAGATGGATTGACACAGTGGCTGCAACGATGGGCTCAAGTACAGCAAGCACTGTGAGGATGGCACATGACTGGGCATTGTTTCATTCTGCTGTATATATGGTCACTATGAGTTGGAGCCGACTGCATGGCACCTAACAACAACAACAACATAGACTTGTGAAAGCTGGACAATGAATAAGGAAGACTGAAGAAGAACTGATGCATTTGAATTGCGATGTTGGCAAAGAATATTAAAAATACCAGGGACTGCCAGAAGAACAAACAAATCTGACTTGGAGGAGGTATAGCCAGAATGATCCTTAGCAGGGAGACTGGTCAGACTTTCATGTACTTTGGTCATGTTGTCAGAAGGGACCAGTCAGTCCCTGAAGAAGAATATCATGCTTGGTAAAGCAGAGGGTCAGTGAAAAAGGGGAAGACCCTCAACAAGATGGATTGACACAGTGGCTGCAACGATGGGCTCAAG